AAAATGTTATTCCGTCCGTTTCATTTTACTTGACTCATATTGACTCGATAATTTACTTTAAAAAAATATTTATTAGGAGTATATAGTACTAGTTATATTTTGAAATTTCAATTGACACCAAGTAGTCCTTACTCCTTTAGTGATTTATATTGGCTAAACCTACAGCTAAGTATCGCACAAATTGGGTAAAAGAAATATTATAAAACGTACTAGTGTGGCATAAAATAAGAAGGCATATGATTATAGCATTAGTTCATGCTTAAATTATGGAAGATCAGATTTTAAGAAAATAAAAAGTCAGTCCAACAAGTCTTTGTTAAATGCCAAAATAGATGCTCTAGATCTCCTTAACGTTGCATTACGTTCGGTGACGGAATCAAGATTTTTCATTAAAGGGCTCAAGACATGAATGAATAAACAGAGAAAGAAGTCAAAAAAATATTCAATGTCTATTATATATACATAAAAGATAATTTTAATCATGTTTAAACAATGTCATTTTCTGCTGAAGAAAATTCAAATGAACCTCTTGACCCTATCTGACTTCTCCCTGATTAATGATAATTGTAATAATAGTGTCATTTTTGGCTGAAGAGAATTCAAATGAACTTCTTGACCCTATCTAGATTTGCCCCTAATTAATCATAATCATAATAAATGAACATAAAAGATTTTCATTAAGGAGGTTCAATATATGATAAACATAGAAAGAAGTCAAAAAATGTTCAATATCTATTATAAACAAACGACTAAATCATGTCAATAGTATTTGTAAAAGATGTGGTTTAAAAGATGAGATTGTGTGACACATGCTTTTCAAGTTTCGGGATTCACAAATAACTTAGGAAATGAGCCCCATTAACTGGAATGACCTTGCCAATATTACTGACTTTTCTTTGTGGTGGAATGAAAAGATTAATAAGGCAAAAATGTCCCAATTCCGCTAGTGTTTTGAATTTGACAGTAATGATTATGTGGCATATTTGAAAATCTACGAATCTTTGGAGTTTTAATAACGAATTAACCGACCCTCCAGACATAGTAGCGAAAACTTTATTTGAATATAATGAATATCTTGATATAGTGCTTGCAAATTCTTCAAATTCAAGTTTTCAAGATATTCATTATATTCAAATAAAGTTTTCTATGATTGCTGAAGTGTGTGCAATAAGAATATCTATGGAAAAAGCGATACAACATGGATGGATGAAGCTCTATGTCCTCTCTGATGCAAAAAGTGTTGTAGATGTATTGAAGAAACAAGTGAAGATTACGTGGGACATAGATGTAGTTTGTGAAGATATTTGGAATATGTCTGCATCTCTAGAGCATATTGTGTTTGTACATATTCCTAGAAGGTTTAATGTTGTAGCTCACAACGTAGCTAAGTTCTCAATTTCTTTGTTGGGAAAATTTTCTTGGGAAAGACTATTCCCAACTTGGATTGGAAACGATGCCAAACTTTCCTTTGGACATATTATGTCCAGAATGAATTAATATATGACAGTTTTAGGGTGAAAAATAAAATAAAATTCAAATGAACCCCTTGATCCTATGTGGCTTCACCCCTAGTTAGTAATAATTGTAATAATAGTGGAAGAGTGAATAAATTGGAGTTTTAATTTGTGCAATGGTAGCAAATTTCACTTCAATAACATTATTTGCATATGGTGGCTTTTTTTTTTTTTTTGGAGAAACTGTTTGGATACGGTTCGTTGTTAAACCAGTGAGCTAAATTTGGCAATTTAGAAACAGTTGGATGAGTTTCTTTTTCTTACAGATCTAGCCACTAAGCTAAAAGGGGACACAATTTAAAGAGTGACCCCCAGAAAAGGTCATTTCTGCACACAATCCCAATTTATGTGTCAACTAGAAAAGAAGTCACAACAACAATACCAATGATAAATTTCTAGAATAACTGAAATTTTGTGTCTAAAAAGGTGATGGTTTTTTGCTTACCCTAAAATCGATACAATTGAAGTCATAAGAGGTCAAGTGCACGCATTTTAATTTAGCAGTTTGATTATTAATTATTAACTAAGGCAAAGTATATAAGTTTAATGAAATAAAGCAGCTTAAAGAGTAAAAGAGTCAATTTCAAATGTTTCCGGAGTGTGTGTAAGTGAGTTCGAGAGTTCTGGCGCTGACTTCGAGAACAACATCGTATAAAGATGCAAATAAGAACTAAGCCAAAATAAGATATGTTTAGTGCCCAACAAAAGTGTAGATTATCGTTGTATAGCTTGAACTAGAATACTCTTACAATGAGACAGATCGACTATTTATAGATTACAATAAGGAAGCCTTTGCCAAAAAAAAGGCTCCACTATAGCCCTAAATGTCATGTTTACTAGGTAGCAAACCAGACATTCCAAAATGTTTTTTTTTGGTTGGGGAAGATGTTTTAGATGAAGCTAGAAGTTCATGAGAGTCTACATCATGTGTTGGAGACAAGTAGGTAAAATTAAATGGTGGGCCAAGGTGTGGACTAAACAGATTAAATGGATGACAACAAAGTATTAACAATTAATTTATATATACAATTAAATATCAGGACACATAAGTCAATTATTAATTGTAAAAAAAAATTGTGAAAGATTAAACATCATATTTTTCGAATTAAGAAAACCATAGGATACACTAGATGACAATTGACAAGTAGTCGCTGGTTTCATTTGATTAATTATCCTATCAATATAATAGTCTGATAAAAGAACCTATAAATAATAAACATAAACAAATTGCAATTTACCATGATTAATTTTGTGTGTATAGGAGTAGTTTATTTTAGTGTAATTATTTGTAGGTTTTTTTTACATCTTTTAATTCACTTAAAAAATAAGTACACATAAATATTCATTAATAAATGGATGTACAACCTGAAAATTAAACTAAGATGTATAACATACTATTATAGTTTAAAATGCAATAATAGTGCAACTTTTTAGTTTTACTTTTTCATGTTTACAAGTTAAAAATCATATAATACTAGTATTTACTTTTATATATTGACAAATTAATTTTCATATACGATCAAATCACTTAAAAATAATCAATTTTTAAAATTAATATTTATGTGTAGTTAATTTTTCTAATTCCATTAGACAATTTTGACCAAAAATTCAGAAGTCAAATTTTATTTAAATTAATTATTTTAACGGATTGTCTTGACATAAATGATAAATGATAAGTGAAAAATCATCAAAATTAGAATAAATAGTATAATAACAATAAATGAAAAAATATTTAGTTTTATAACTTCATCAACTTTTGACTTCATAATAACTCGAGTTTAATCTCATAAAAATAACAAATCTTTGACCGAAAAATTGAATAATCAATGTATTAGGCAAGTGTGTATATATATATATATATATATATATATATATATATATA